CAAGAGTCAACAATCTAAAAACGTATTTGTTTACCACGAGTCCAAGACCAGCCTGAAACTATATGGTGAGATAGTTTCAAAAAAATTAAAAGAGTAAACAAACAAATAAAACATACATGTAGAAGATGAACAAGTGACTTGTAAATATTTACCAATGACTTTGATAACGATTAATAGCCACTGAACATGTCCAAGTGCCAGGCACTCTCCTGCCTGTTTTACCCACATTAGGTGTTTGCAATAAGCCCGTTGAAGAGGATCCGGTCTTATAGAAGTGATATTTGCCAAGTCAGAGCTTGTAATAGAAGTAGGTCTATGTGTTTACCAAACAACATAGAAACATAATGCGCTGAATTTAGTAACGCTCCTTAAATACTTATAAAACTAATGGAACAATTTTAATATATTTCTTCTACTCCCAGAAAGCTCAATGTCATTCAGGTTAACTGATTTATCTGGCAATCTGTTCCTTAATGATTTCATAATTGTTGGGGCCTGGGGAGAAGGGGACCAGTATTTAAAAAAAAAAGGCCATTTCCTCCAGAGAGCAGAGATTAATTAAAACGGGGAGCACCGCAGTATTTGAGGTGCACGTCATTTCCACGTGTCCCGGCCACTGTTACGTTCTAGCTCATAAGCAAGGCGTTTGTTCTCAGGCCTACGATAAGGGTAAGGTTCTTCAAGCACAGATCAAGCTCGCGTTTCAGAAAAGCCAAAGCCGCCGCCCTGAAGCTTCACTCCCGGCTGCCTCTGTTCCCGGGAAGAAGCGCGAGGGGCGCGCTGCGGGGCTGCGTCCTTTTCCTGCCCCCTCGCCTGTTTTAAGGGCGAACGGGACATGCTCAAGGCAGTGCACGGCGCAGGCTGCCCTCGGTCGCTTCGGGAGAACTTCAGTCACCCTCTAATCCTAGCCTTGCAAAGCACAGCGGTGAGGCTCAGGGCCCCGGCAGCGGCGCTCGAGGCTGCGAGGGCCACGGCGGGCCCCTCAGCCTCGGCGTCCTCGTCTCACCCGCTCGCACGCCCAGCCTAGGAACGGCGGAACGCGTCCTTTTGGCGGACTGCGGCCGCCACTTTCCGCTACGCCGTCCGTTACGCCATGAACGAGAGAGCAAAAGAGGCGCGACGTACAGCGAAGCATAAAAGGCTGCGCGCCACGACGCCCACCCAGTCTGTCACTTACCAGCCGGGCGGCCCGCCATCTTGACCCGAGAGCGAAGCGAGGCCTTCTGGGTAAGTCCTAGAGGACGCGTCGGGCGCAGTGGGCGGTGCCGTACGTCGCGTCGCCGGCGCGCAAGGACGCCCGCGCAGCCGCAGCCCTGACGCTGACTTAGGCACCTGCTCCGCTGCCCTGCAGTATTAGTGGAATAAACTGTTCTTCAGCACTTGTTTCCTTCCAAAAGCATTCCTCGTGACATGACAGGAAAAACACTAGGAAAGGCAGTAGGAAACAGGGCTTTGGCCCACCTGGAGTTTGGACTGTATTAGTCATGCCCTTGGAGCCAGGCGACCAGCTAAACGCTCTTCAGGAGGGGCATGAAAAGCATTGTTTCCAGTACCCCGGGGAATTTTCTTAGACGCTTAAATTCTTTGTGTAAAACGTTTTTGTAAAACGCTTGCATATTACCTACACCGCGACCTCCTTTTAAATCCTCTCTAGATTACACTTAATCCAGTGTAAATGCTATACAGGGTTTGTTTTTTTCCGGAATCAGGGATTGAACTCAGGCTCAGGCCCTTGCACTTGCCAGGGAAGCGCTTATTCCACTAAGCCATCTTGCTGGCCCCTATACAAGTTATTATTGAGGGCATAATGAGTGTATTCCTCTTCGATGAATGCCCCAGATATTTTCCGCCCATGGTGTTGAATCCACAGACATAGAATTCTTAGCTATCGAGGGCCAAATGTGTTTTCATTTAATTCTAATCCTATGATATAAATTGTGATTAAGAGTCTTCGAAAGGTTAAATATTTGAAATGTAATGGTACACACATGTAACCCAGCCCTATGGGAGAGGAAGGCCAGGGTGTGCAAGTTTCTGTCCAGCTTGGCCTGCAAAATTTAGGTAGACTTGGTCTCAAAATGGGTGTGAATGTAGCTCAGTGGAAAGGCCATGGGTTCAATCCCAGTACCAAAGAGAGAGAAGGAGGGAGAGAAGAAAGTTGAATAATTTACATAGGCAATATGCAAAAATTATGTTTTACACGAGAAATCTTAGCATCTAAGAAAATTCCCAGGAGTCCTGAAACCGATGCTATTCATCCCCTGCCAAGTGTGCACAGTTGGGAAAAATCCATATTCCAAATCAGAGGTGTAAATTCAGACCCCTTTAATTCTAGTTTATTTTCTACATTGATAATTCAGGAATGATACTAAATCTGTTCTTCAGTTTCTCCAGCTGAAGATTACATCAAACCATTCTGGTGGAAATTTGTGTAAGAAAAGTTTTTAAAATACTAAATCTAAGACATTAATTTTAAGAGGAAGTATGTAATTGGTCCATTTTATTCATTGAAATAGGGCCCTCTATGTAGTTTAGGCTGGCCTTGAACTCACTATGTAGCCTGAACTGGCCTCGAACTCATGATTCTCTTATCTCAGCTTCCCAGAGGGCTGGGATTACAGGTGTGTGCCACCACATCTGGAAATCTGTCCACTTTCAAGGACTCAGCTGCACATGTGAAGGCCAACACTCCCAAATCTAGGGGCAGAAAATAGTTCAGCAAATTAGCATGACTAAGTTACTAGTGCACTACCATTTTAGAGCTGGTGAGATAGCTCAGCAGATTAAGTGCCTGCTTAGGCAAGTGCAGGGACTGGGGTTCCATCCTGGCACCACATACTGCAAAGGCTCTGCCCCTGGGCTCGCTGAGCCAGTGACCGAGTCTGAGCCTGTTGGTGTGTGCCTGTAATCCCAGTGTTGGGAAGGTGGAAAATAGGATCACTATGAGCTTGAGCTGCACAGTGAGTCCCGGCACACACACACACACACATTTTTTGTTGGTTTTCTAGAGGGCATCTGCAACAAGAGTATAGAACCCTTTTTCCTTGTAAATTCAAAATATTAGCTGTCACATACCAGTTATGAAATTCTATTGCCTTCTCCCTTTTGTCTCCACTACCATTTTCTCCTATGATTTGGTCCTGTATGCAGCACTAAACATTGTTAAATGGCTACTTTCAGCCTATACTACCATTGGGAACTCTGAAAGATATTAATGCAATACATTTGTACATTTGCACATTGCCTGGCAAGCAGAGGTATATTCCTTACCCTGTAGTGCTCCTTAAAGTGCAGGTGGCAAGAGAAGGAAAATTTTTAGCTCAAGGGAGTAGATACCAGGACTGTCACAAAGTAACAGCTCCTGCAGCCATTAAGCAGAGCCTAATGAGTGCTGGTAGTTGTTTCCTTTTACCCTATCACCAGGCATAGGGTAGAAATGACACTTCCATGTGCTACTCTGGGGAAAAGAAAAGTCTGTATGAGCAACTTTCTACATACCTTTTCCCTTTCACAGACTGGCAACAACACTGTGACTGCAGTGATAACATGTTATCACTGAAGGTGATGTGGACCACAGCCTTTGTGGTCATGAGCAAAACATGTGAGACATCTTCATGGTTTTAAAGCACCTGATACTTTAGGATTGTTCACTACAGCAGCATGGCTAGCTTATTCTGATAACTGTCTGTGAAGGCAAAATGAAATTCTGAGGCATAGAAAGTAAGCGGGACAGTTTCATGAGTCCAAGCTGTACCTTCTAGTTTCCTTTTTATTGATCTCATCCACTAGAATTCCATGAGAGCACATACTTGTTACATTCACAGTACTCCAGAATCTATCAAATGTCTATTGACAAGTGGAAGTTCTAATGGAAAGGCCACTACATACTTGGCTTTGACCAATTAGAAATTTAGCCTGACACGAAGCTTCTTTTAGGACACCCAGCATACAAAACCCTGATACACAACAAATGGCTATTTCTGGTTTGAAATACTTAGTTTTTTAAAAATTCCAAGTCCATCTGGATAGTCTTGGTAAGGCTAGAAATCTAATAAGCCTTAGCTAGCTCACTCACATACCTCTTCAGCTAGCATGGCTGGACCTGCTGAGGTTTAGCCAGGCCCTTGCCTCCACCTCATTTCTCCAAAAACCAGACCTCTACACAGTGGCTGGGGACTCCAAGAGCAGATGTTCCGAGACAGCAAGCTCCAGTGTGCACTTGTTTATCAAGCCTTTGCTTGACTATGTCCCTTCAACTGAATCCACTGGTCAAGTCAGTATAGGAAGATTTGTTAAGTGTGCAAATGCTATACATGGTGCACTGACCACTACTAGTGTTATCAGTGTGCCCAACAGGTAATCCTAAAGCAAAAGTGTGTAGCCACAGAGCCTCATTTTATAAAGAAAGCAAAGCTCAGAGATTAAGTAATTAACCCAGAAGGCTATCAATTCACAGCATAAATGTTCATGTGCTGGCAGTCAGTCAGGGTTTATTATGGCTGCAACTGCATCTCCTTGCATTCGTCTTGTCTTCAAACTTCACTATTTTCCTTTGTTGATTTTTAGTAGCCAGTTGAGGACAACCTTGACTATCTCTGCTCAGGGAGATAACACTGTACATAATCCTAGGAAAAATGTGATTTTAGCACTTCTGGAGTACTGGCTATTAGACATTTCAAAGTAAATAAAGGCATCTTGTGATAAAACCACTTTAAAAGACCTGGGGACACAAGGCCAGAACATTTCCCATTACATCCAGCTTCACCAGGATGCCAAAGTTCCAGCGCACAGTAAACTCCCTCCCTTTACTCTAAGTTTGCTATATTTTAGTTTTTCTCCTTTCTTCAAGCAAGGATGATGGTTGAGTCAAACAAAAATTAAGTCACTAGGAACCTGTAAGAAACATCTCCAGAGTATATACACAAATATCTGAATGAAGAAATTCTTGTATCAACTGAGACCTGAAGCATTTATTTAAAAATATATTCATTTATTTATACATACATTTTACAATATTAATTTTAATATTCATCAAAACTAAAGTGTTTTTAAGAATTTTTCAAAGTCCCGTACTGAGGCGTTGGCAATCTCTTCACAGAATACCGCATCAGGAACAGACACTAATTTGTCCAAAGAGATGTAGTTAGGTTTTGCTGGGTCATACTGTGCTCTTCCTAAATAGGCAAGAAACAGGTGTCTTTCTTTGACTTTGAGCAGCTTTGTATTAAATACCTAGGGGGAAAAAAGAGATTTTTGAAAACACTACAATAAATGATGAAATACTTGACTATTTTAATAAGTTAAAAAATATAAAGTTGACCACATCCTCAGTAAATGTGAGTAATGGATTTAAATACTGTATTTGTCAGAAAATTATGACTAAAAATACTAGCAGGTCTGGTAGTATAAATCTACAGTCAAACACATGCCTAGCATGTAAAAATTATTACAGAAGCAATTATGATTCAAAACAGATTCAAAGGAAACAGAGTAGTAATAAAATAGCTCAGTGCTATACAGTGGGCAAAGAACATGGATTACCCCAAAATGAGTGTGTCAGAAGAGGCAATCCTCAGGTCCTGCCCCATACTACCTCATCAGGAACTTTGGGAGTAGGGCCAAAAATTTGTTTTACAACCTCATCTAGATGATTCTGTTAACCATTAAATGTAAGAACCAATGTCTGAAATCAAAATCTACGTCAGAAAAAAATTTAGATTTCATAATCTGCAAAGCTCTCCCTAACTTTTAACATTTCTGCTGCTTCCCAACTAGAATCAAGATCAAATGAATCTGACGTGCCTGTGGAGCAGCTAGGGAAAATGTCTCACCCATAAAGCAGGAGAGGGCAGGATCGAGGCAGGTTGTGTCAGCACAGCCTGCTGCAAGACAGGAGGGAGGCCTGGGAGGCCCGCAGGCTCCTGGTGAAGCCTAGAAACCTCTCGCCTGCACTCGCTCCCCTTTTCCTAGTGTTCAAGTAGAAAAGCAGCAAGAGCTCTCTTTGAAAGACACTCTGAAAATCAGCAGTAAGCTAATTTGCCTTGAGAATGATGACCAAAAATGGTACACAGTGTTAACTCAGCATGAGGTTGGTGTGCTTTTGGGAAAAATACCTTTTTCTGTCTGCAAAACAAATGACATCTTTTCTGCTCTCATTTGGTTACTAAATTCCCATTACCACATTACTACTGTAAGATGCAAACTGCTTTGGTTTAAGTATGGTTCCAAGGCAGTGATTTTTGGCTTACAAAATTATACAATATACAGAGAAAACCTCAAGTGACTCTGGCTCCCAAACTAGGGCCAATTTCCTATGAATAACAACCCTGAGGCATTTCGTGGCTTGTGACTAGACACTGGTATACTTCTCCAAAAGCTTGAGTTATTTCATCGTTGGGAATGTGGGCTCTTCCCAGTCCAAAGCTACAGCTCAGACCGAGATGTTTTTGTTGTTTCCTTCTTTAAAAAGTAAACATGGTGGCGGTACAGACCATCAAGGACCACTTCACCATTATCACAAAAATTTCATCCTGTAATGAAAACCTGTAAGTTACTGATCCTCTTTCCTGAGGCTGGACCCCCACTTTGCCTTCAGGGAAAATGATAGTGGAAGGGGAGAGAGAAGGGGGCTCCTGAATACAGCATTTCCTCCCTTAGGCTACAGGTTCCCTCAGAAGAATCACCCTGACACTTTACTTTCCTCTACCTTCTACCACACCTTCTTTAAAATAACTGTAACAGTTACTAATTATAGTTCTCTACATTTAATTAATCATAATCTGTATCTGCCAACCAGAAGTTACTGCATGAGATTAATTTATCATCGTTTTAAGTTAAAACACTTGCCCAAACTTTAAGTCTGTTACCATTTTTCTCACAGCCTTACTGTTATTTAATTGTGTCTTCCTATAAATAAGCTTTTCATTTTTTGTTGTTTTTCAACAATACTGCCCATACATTTAGGAGTCTCTGAATCCCAATTTGGAAGCCACAGTTCTGTGAGTGGGCTGTAGACAAGTTACTGGGGTGCATCTGTCAGTCTAGAGTAGTTGCACCTACTTGGAAAGTTTCTCCCCACTTTCCAAGTACCACTCATTACTGATGAGTACCACTTCTACAGCAGCAGTATATTCTGGTAGAGGATGTTTTTAATTTTTAAAACTTTTATTATTACTTTTTGTTTCATTTTGGTTTTTGAGATAAGGTGTGGTTCTATAGTTGAGGCTGGCCTTGAACTCAGTGATATTTCTGCCTCAGCCTCCAGAGTGCCAGAATTACAGGTGTGTCCTACCACACCCAGCAGGTTGCTAAGGGTTTTTAAATTCAAATGACTGTATGCTAATCCTGGTTCTGCACCTTGTTACTCAGTAACCTTGGAATTACTTAATTCCTCTATATTTGCTTTCTTCTTTTGTAAAACATGGACAGTAATAGTACCTCATATGATGGTTGTAAGAGTTATAATGAATTAAGATAAGCAAAGTGTAAAGACAGAGCTGGCACACTATAAATTCTCAGTAACTGTCATTTCTTGATTCCTATTTTTGTCTCTTCTATATTGAGTCGGATCTACGTAACGAGACCCTGTACACCCTGTAGACCCTGTCTTAAATTCATTAAAAAAAAGATTCTACCATTATATAAACCAATCATACTTTTAAACCCTGTCACTCTGGATTACCTACTGTACAAGATATAGGCTTTCTCTGAGTTCTGTTTCCTTAGTATCCACACAGAGTCTAGCCCAGGATGGATGATCCATTATGAGTTGAAAGAATAAGGTGACTAGTGTCTGGAAAGAACAAGATCAGACTCTCTTGTCATGACCAACTGTCACTGAATTATCCACTGACCCAGGGAAAAACAAGCTGTCATTGCTTTTAAGCTGAAGATTACTTGCTTTACAATTAATTGCTTTATAGCCTAATTCACATGACTGTGCTCCCTAAGGGCATTCACAGCATGATGGGCAAATAATATACAGCTATGTATGAAGGAAGTGGATCAAATGCTGCCAGTCCTACAAGCTGTGTTAAGTTCATATTTCTTTACCCACCTTTATATCAGATAGCAACATGCCTTGTGAACTGAACAGAGGGATCATATCAATGGAGTTTAGTCTGCCATTTGTCTGATATATACTCACTGAGTGCCTATTCACATGACAAATAGCAAAGAAGGCTCATCAATTACTTATTTGTTCAACAAATATGTACTACATGTCTACTAAGTGCCAGGTGTAGTTTCAGGCACTATGGACTTGGCCATGTGTGAACTAGACAAGGTTTCTGCCTTCAAACAGTATTTTTGTGAACAGCAAATAAGGTAGAAGGTAAGAACTTAAAAGGTAAAAACAAAAAAGTCTGATTAGCTAAGAAAATGTACCTACATGTTTGGCACTGTGGTAAGCTAGAATTGTTCTATGCTTTTGTAGTGGATCATTATAACATGGTTGTTAGTGCATGGATTTAGACTGACTGTGAATGAAAATACATGTGGCATTAAAAGGACTTACAGAAAGTGATCTCTTTTTAATTTAAATGGAGGAAAACAACAGAGACTATGTTACATTCTTCTGTCTGATTCTAACAGGCAGTTGTAGAAGTAGGAGTTTGTAGAAACTACAAGAACACTGAGCCATCAGTGGTTCCCCTTGGAGCAGCAGCTGAAGACCCTCAGCCCCAAACACTGGGCAATGGAAGCTGTCACACAGAGCTGTCCCTGCGTACCTGTGGGAACTTGACAATGATGTGGTGTGGAATGTTCATCACATTGTGCACATAATCGAAAGTTGCCGTGGTGTTTCCTTTTATTTGCAGTTAGCATCTTTGGGATTCTCGTGACCATATGCTGAATTTCATTATGTTTAAAGCCAAGTTCAAGACGATAAGCCTACAAGAAATCAAATTTGCTGAGTCATGAGTAGACTAGTATTTCACTAATATGCCAGAGGACACACTGATTCTCTGAAATAACATTTTAAAGCCTAGGAACAGCTAAGTCAAAGACCTCAGGGCATTATGACTTCATTCTTGAGTGACCTGAATTTGAAAACACTCTCCTGAGAATGAGGTTCTCACAGCAAGATATCACCATGAAGGTCACAGAAGGAGCATCCAATTATGAGATGAAATAATAGTGCATAAGGGCAGGCTGGGAAGGTGTCTCTGTACAGACTGGACATAAACAGAACAGCCCTAAGGTTTTCCAAGTGCTTCCTGAGCTTCTGCTCCCAAGCACACCCATGTATATATTAATGAAAATCACATGTCCAGTTCAAGTTGATCAAAAAGTCAGGCATGGTGGTACGCAGCACTCAGGAGGCTGGCTGAGTAGGAGTATTGTTGCAAATTCCAGGCCAGCCTAGGCTACAAAGTGAGTTCAAGGCCAGCCTAAGCTGCATAGCAAGACCCTGTCTCAAAAAGACCAAAAAAAAAAAAAAAGGAAAGTTGATCAAACTAAACACAACAGGGAAGGGCTAGCTAGATAGCTTAGTGGACTAAAGCACAAGGACCAGGGTTCAATTCCCGGTGTGCCATGCCAGGCCCCCAAGGCACACTGAGGAGACTGGGTGTGGTGGTGTGCACCTATAATCCCAGTGCTTGGGAGGCTGAACAACAGGCGGAGCACTACGAGTCCAATCTAGTAATGAGACCGTGAACACCCTGTAGATCCTTTCCTAAAAGTAAAAAAAATTACTACTACAAGTCTGATTTACATAGGGAGACCCTGTGGACCCTGTCCTAAATACATAAACAAACAAAACCAAACAAACAGGGAGTAGGTCCTTAATGGACTTCCCTAGTGTTCAGTATTCCCCCACCAAACCATTGCTCAGATGGCTCTGAACTTCATCTTCTAGGCTTCATGAGAGCAGAAACTATGTTCCCAGGAAATGACTAAGTACAGAACATTTGAGCACATCAGTAAATAGGTCTTACTTAACTTTTTTTTTTTTTTTTGGTGGAACTGGAAATTGAACTCAGATCCTTGCGTGTGCCAGGCAAGCACTTACTCTATTGAGCCATCTCCCTGGCTTCCCCTTACTTAACTTCAAACACTACTCCCAACGTTGCATACTAACTAGTCAGTTGTTTTGGCTTCCTACCATTCTCTCTCTCTTTTTTGTGATACCAGGGATCGAACTCAGGACCTTGCACTTGCCAGAAAAGCACTTATTCCACTGAGCTATCTCCCTAGCCCCCCTACCATTCTCTTAATGGATTGATAGCAAAGAATGTTTGGCATAGTCTGTGACAGAACTAGAGCTGGCAAATGGCACAGATGTCAAGGAGAACGATATGTTGTTTGCCACTCTCTCTTCACAAAACTCTTGGATCCAGCCTCCAAATGCCATGAGACACAGACAGACTTTCATGTTGAGCAACAAAGCAGTTTCAGAAACTGCTAAGAGACTCGGACACAGCCTTTTGTGCTTGGCAACAGGAGCAGCTTAGAGGTCCACCCCACAACTGGCCATTACTGGAGGATGAGGGCACAAGTGTCTACAAGGCAATTTGCTCAGGTATCAACCTGTAGAACACACCATGTACTAAGATACACTGCTTGCTACATGTCCATTATGTATGTTTCTATTACTGTCTTTTAGAAATAACTTCTTTTATAATTTAGTTTTAAGATGATAGTGGCAAAATCTATTCTCTTCATGAGAAAATCCTTAAAGAAACTTAATTCTCAAAACTGAATTCTCTGTCTGGCACCACATGTCACACTGGCCCTACCCCTGGTGTGCTGAGCCGGCCACAGAAAACTGAATTCTCTGAAAACTGTCCTACCTTCAAGTTTTCTTTCACAGGCTCTAGACTTCCAGTCAGCAGCCTTGGAAGACGAACAATCAGATCTCTGGTCTATAGTTGTAAACAAAACAAGTGATTATTACGTGTGCACATTTGACTAGTTTGGCAAACTAAGGCTTTAGTAGACATACAAAACTAAAACTTCAAGTATGACTCAATCAGAGGAATGATAACCTTAGATATAACATCAACGCAATGCTGTTTTAGAAAAAAACCTACTGAAACAAAACTTAAGGAACCAACTGATTGAACAGTATAAAGTGACGCAGCTTTATATTTTAGCCTACCAGAGTAGGCTAAAATCATTTTTGTACAACAGCAGGCAATTAATAGGATCCATAAGGATGAGCTATCTGTTCGAAACATGAGATTTAACAGTTACTAAGTATACCTGCTATGGAAATGTATAAATTCTCTCAATCCTTTACCTTCTTCACACTAAGTTCAAGTTCCTTCTGAAAGAATCCCAGTCTGTTATCCAGTCTTTCCACTGAAAAACTCAGCAAAAACGGTGCATTCTTCACCATCTGTACAATATCTGCTTTACTGAAATTTTTAGACCGCAGATAAGCCACCCTAGAGAAATAATAAACATAATATGACATTTACTGTTAACATTCCAAAGTACCAACTTTTGTTTTTACAAAAAGGATACCACACATACAAAAAACATAAATAAAAACATTTTGAACTAATGGTCCAAATATGGGTAAAACAACCACCCACCATATTGTACAACGGTTTTCACTTACACTTGAACATAGAAAATAATTCTGAAATCCACTAATGAGTAGATTCCTTCTTCAGCTAATATGACTTATTACTTAATTAAAAATTAATTAAGTTCTGTTCAGACTTTTTTTTGCTAAGAACAGAAAAAAATGGCAATTAAAGAAGGAATAAAGAATGCCATATGCCAAAGAAAACCCTCAAACAATGCTGTAACTGAAATTTTTTGTTACTATATTTATTATGCATTTTCATAAATATTTTTGACAGTACATATTTTATTAACTGAAAATTTTTCCTAAGTTTCTGGGTACAAAAATAGAGTAAATATAGAAAGTTTAACTGTTACACGGGCAGCGTAAAATCTAAAACTATAGCAATTTTTTTAAGAGCATAAGTGTCCTTTTTATATCCAGAAAACTATACACATTATATAATATCATCTGAGTAGATAAGACTCAAATTTTTGATGCCAGTGTGTTGACCACAAGCTATCTCAAACCAGGTACACCCTATTCAAAGTATTCCATTCCTAACAACTCTCTCCCAAGGCCAATACTTTTATTAAATGCTAAAAATACTCTAAGACATCTTGTTTAATTCTTCTTTGTGCTTGCCAGGGAAGCACTTACTCCACTGAGCCATCTCCCCAGCCCCCTTGTTTAATTCTTATTAGAAAAAAAAAACCTACTGTGATTCAGATAAATTGCTCAAATTATATCTGAAGCATAACAGACTTTTTTTGGTATTGGGAACTAAAATCAGGACCTTGTGCTTACCAGGCAGGCACTGTGCCACGGAGCTACTTCCCTGACCCCTACACTTAAAGAACCAAAGGTTTACTGACATCAAATAACTGTCTTCTATCACCAAATAATCAGTGATAAAATGAAACTGAAGTTAGGCATGCCTACATCTAAACTTTATAACAGTCCTATACCATGTAATAGCATGTAATTACTTTATAATTAACTAAGTATTTGAGTACAGTATTACTTCTTAAAGTAGCAGGCCCTTAAACAATTGATAAATTTAGCTGCATAATAAAAAACAATAAAACAAAGTTAATAGACAAGTGACTCTTGGAAAAATGTTTGGAAAATGTCTTCAGAGAAGCAATTTTTCTTTTTCTTTTTCTTTTTTCTTTTTTTTTTTTTCAGAACTGGGGATTGAACTCAGGCCCTTGTGCTTTGCCAGGGAAGTGCTTATTCTACTGAGCCATATCCCTGGCCCTTCAGAGAAGCAATTTTTAAAATATATAAATGGATATTTATAAGAAAGGAAAGAAAGAACAAAAGAGATAGGAAGAGGAAGGGAGGGAGAAAGAGAGGGTGGGCCCAATTTTAAAATGTGAAGGAAGGAGCAGCCAAATAGCTCAGCCGATTAAAGGCCGGGGGTTTGATCCCAGGTCTGCCGCTGTGCTAGCCCTGCCCCCAAGGCACACTGAGACCACAACTGAGACTGAGCATGGTGGCACACACCTATAATCCCAGTGCTTGGGAGGCTGTAAACAGGCGGATCACTAGGAGTCCAATCTAGTCTTGCTATATCTTGGTCTTAACCATCCAGCAGAAAAGTATAAAAATGAGGTATATAAAGTAAATCCATATTAATACGATGAGCTGTAAAAGGCTCAAGTCAATAACTTCTGAGGATAACCCACTAATATTATAGACTGCTAGACAGTATTAGATGTTTAGTTGAATTCAAGCACTTATAGTATTTAGATGCCAATAGAGTATTCACCTCTGACAGGACAAAATAAATAAATAAATAAATAAAAATTAAAAGAAAAAAAATGGAAATGGAAAGAAGCAGTCAATGCTCTAATTAACTTTATCTCCTTTTTTTCAATTGTACTTGTTCTTAATTTCTTAAACATTGCTCCAGTTTTTTCTTCTTCCAATTTTATGTGTATATATCTGGTAATATGAATACCTGGTTGTAAGACAATACCATGTATTACAACAAATACTGTGAAATTCATATTACTTTGTTAAGTAAAATTCTGTATGAGTTGTCAAAAATAAATAAATTTAAAAAAGAAAGAATTAAATGTAGGGAGACTGCAGCCAATATTCGAGTTTAATTAACAGGGTTTGACCCCAGTTTTTCCTGTTAACACTGTATAATCCTGAGCTAGTTATTGAACCTCTCTGTGCCTCCCGTGTACAATGGGTACAGAAATAACTATGAGGCAGCTCTGAAATGATCCCCACTTCTAGAATTTATAATTCCTTGGAATAATCTTGAACACCCAGGCAAGCTAGTGTTAGAATGGGCAAGGAAGCAAGGAGTATTCCTGGCAGTCCACAGGAGGAGCAATGGATGTGAGTTTCCCAGGGTCATTGTCCTTCCCCTATGTTGTGACAACCTATCTATCACACAAGACTGTGTGACAGGGGAATATATTCCATGACAGGGAATCAAACACAGGACACTGCACTTGCCAGGCAGGCACCGTGCCACTGAGCTATATCCCTGTCCCCCAAACACATGTCTTTTATATCAGAAATCTAGCTAAGTGCCTTGAATATACAAGGCTGAAGGGCCGGCAAGATAGCTCAGAGAACTAAGCACCTACTTAGGCAAGTGCAAGGACTGGGGTTTCATCCCCCACTACCACGTGCTTTGCCAGCCCCACCCCTGGGCATGCTCAGCTGGTACCAAGTTCAGGCATGGAAGTGTACACCTGTAATCCCAGCACCCAGGAGTCTGAAAACAGGAGAAGGACCACTATGAGTACAAGCTGCATAGTGAGATACTGTACCAAATACAATTTAAAAAAATAAATTACATAATGGAGTTTTTTCAATTTTTTCATACTTCAGAGGACACACATTAGGCTATGTGGGTTTGAAAAACTGCTGAGCTCTCTGAACCACAGGGAGGCTCCATATCAAGGTGGAGGATAATATGGGGGGTGAGGAGGACAGGCATCCTGGAGTGAACTGATGGCCTAAGGCAAAGGATTTTTTTTTTTTTCTTTTCTGTATTTAGGACAGGATCTATATGGTCTCACTACATAGATCAGACTTGTAGTGATCCTCCTATTTTTAGCCTCCCAAATGCTGGGATGATAGGCGCATGCCACCACATGCCCAGTCTCAACTGCTGTCTCAGTGCATCCCTGGGATACAGCCGGCACTGCACACTGGGAATTGAAGCCGGGCCACTGCGCTCTGCCTAAGCATATGCTTTAGACTGCTGAGCTATCAGGCCGTCCCTAAGACAAAGGATTCCAAGGGGAGATGAGAAATGCACTGACTGATTTGGCTGTAGGTGATTTATGTGGATGCTAAAAGAGAAGCCAAAGTGGTGCAGCATTTCTGACTTAGGCAGTAAAGTAAACAGAGTCCATTCAGCAAGTCCAGGAGTACAGGCTGATATAGGTGAGTGCTGGAGGTGATGATGAATTCAACATATTAACTAAAGGACAAAGAATGTCACTTATCTTGGTATTCCCAAGGCCTAGTAGGATCCTTACATCACAAATCAACAGTTTCACTGTAAAGAATCACAGAGATTCTATAATTACGTGATTGATAAATGAAGTTAAAAGAAAGTTTACAAAAGTGCTACTTAAAAGAATAATGAAAACAGTCACCTTACACACAGGATTGTTATGGTTGTTTTGTCTGCTGTCCCTTGAATGTGTCCCTCATGTAGTCATTGGGGCAGGCTTCTACAGTTTGTGATTAATTAATGATCCAGTGCTGGTATTATGGGTATGAATCCTACCCCCATCTGGAGCAGATTGCCTGAATACAACATAAGGAAGGGAGAGGGCTTGCTAACTGCCACAGTCACTGCTCTTCCCTTTGCTCTTAGCTGTTTTCTACCACCATGAACTGCTGCCCTCTGCCAAGTGGAACTCTGCCTTGTAGCCAGCCAACTACAGACTGAAACCTCCACTATGAGCTAAGTAAACCTTTCCTTCCTTAATTTTGAGTGTCATGTATTTTGTCCCAGCAATAAGAGAAAAGTAACTGAGACACAGGACTAAGCAAATTATATAATATTTGCCAAGAGAATGTCAAATGTCAACCATGAGAAAAGGACAGAAAAAACCCCACAATTATGCTTTCATGACTTCCAATGCACTGTTCGATAACTCAGCTATTTGTTGATGGACTGTTTTTAAAAAAACTTACTCCAGTTCCTAAAGAGATACAGTGAAGTACCAACTCAGCCATACATTGAAAAAATAATGGGTAGGTGAATAAAAGAACTGTTTTCAACATTTAAATCAAGGTCTATAACAACAACATTCATGTTCACTGTCTCTGCAGGTCTTCATACAGCAGACACGTGAAACATTTCTTCCACATATATTCCCCATCACCACTTACGAGACTCATTCTAAAAATCCTACCTGATTTTAAGATTTTCAAGGTCTTCGGAGAAAATAGCATAATTTTTAGTCAGGAAGGTCCCCAGTTGGTTATCTTCTAAACCCACATCCTTGAGAAACAGGAGTATTTGCTTAATGTCTTTTTCAAAGTCCAGTCTTAGGAGGAGGTTGGCTGCGTCTGGGTGTTTTTCTATCTGGGACAAATTCACTCCTGTAACACATACAAATACTCCTTGAGCATAACTTGTTAGACCAGCCATTAAAGCTCATATATATAGATGCCAGAAATTACTAATGAATAATGCATCCAAAGGAGAACTTAGATACACAAATAGAAACTTCTTTTTTTTAAAGACAGGGTCTCACTATGTCATTCTGGATGGCCCTGAACTTGCAGCAGTCCTGCATCAACCTCCCAAGAGCTAGGATTAAAGATGTATACTACCACAGCTGGCTGGCTTCTAAATATTTTTAAACTAAATTAGTTACAGAAATAAAAACAAATTGAGTTATATTTATTTTGATGAAAAATACAAAAGAAAACAAGAGTATTTGTGGCTAAATTTACCCCCAAAGACAAATTCAGTAGTCCATGTCAACACTGGACCATCATCTTTGTGTATGATTCCTTAAATATTGTCTGCAGGATGTCTGAAGAGTCCCTGATGATCTCCACAGAACCTGCTAATTCTGTATTTTATTCTGTGAATAAAATGTTACTTTGAAGCTTTTGTTTCCTTATTTTAATTAATTTTTATTAATATATGTTTGCATACATTTACATTTCTTGTAGGAAGCTGGTACCTGTATGTAACATATCCCAGTTCTTTTTTTTTAACCTTTCCCCTTCCCCTTTGTCCCACTCCTTCATCCCCTTCCCATCTGTGTATGATCTACAGTGGACCCTTGACTTAGGAACTCAATTCATTCACAAGGGCTGGTTGTATGTAACTCAAGGTGGTTGTAAGCTGAGACTAGTTTTCCCATAAGAAATATTCCCAAAGCACCACTTAACCAACCTTTTCATAATAAAAAGGATTGTAGGGCTGGGAGATAGCTCAGTGGAGTAAGTGCCTGTCTAGCAAGCACTAAGTCATGAGTTTGGTCTCCAGTATCAAAATAAATAAATAGGATTGCATAGTGTGCATAATTTACCAGAAACAACTTGTAATTTTCTAATGTACTCACTAAAGTTATAAAATGTGCCTCATTTACCAAAAACAATCCCATAATGTATTCACCAGTGAAGCTGACATCTTGGCTTTCAGGAAGATAGAGTGAAATGGAAGGTGGTTACTGTTTGAAAGGAAAGTCCCCTTCCCAGGAATCCTGCTCTTTGGTGTCCTTTCTCTCCTTGATAGAGTCTGCAGTCCAGTAGGACTTGCTTCTGCCTTACTAGAACTAAAAATCTTTCCAGAACGAAAAACTTATCTAATGTTGATCTTTTAACACTTTTGTAGTATGACATGTCGTTGTTTTTAAGCAAGTGGATGCAACACTTGGCTTTTTCTCTGGTGGGTCTTGTCTACAAAAGTTTGTAGCTCTGTCCATTCTGTCAAGATTTCTTTATTTCAGAACTTTGCTGCACCGATTACGGCTATCTCCTCCTCTTCTGAAAGCTCTTCTGGGCTGGGATTTGGCTCAGCAGCAGAATGCTTGCCTTGCAAGCTGGAAGCCCTGGGTTTGGTCCTTGGCACCAAAAACAAAAAAAAAAAACCTCTCCTAAAAAACAATTCAGCCAAAAAAGTACAGTAAAATCAAAAAAGACCAAAAACAAACAAGGCAACAGAAAGCTCCTCAGCTGCCATTCTGTTGCTCAACCAGAAGTTGCTGGAGTTCCTCTGTAGACAGTTCCTCTGAGTGCTCCTCAACATCACTGTCTACCTACAACCCATGGGCATCACTATAGTGATGGTGTCACCACTCACAGAGTCAATTGAAGACTCAGGCTCCTCTGCACAGCTTTTGAAGTCTATTGCCTATAATTTTAGGCCACATTTTCTTCCAGGAATCTCAGTGTCATTAAAGGGACATTGGCCCAAGATTGCTAATTAACCCCACACAGGAAAGGGTATTGTAATGTTTCTTCCAAAATCCTCTAAGGGTTAAATCTGTATCTGAGACCATCTGAAAGCATTTCAGGAAGAGTTCTTTGGTGTATAGCTTCTTAAAAGTTAGCTGTACCAGTAGTTACATTAGATGGGAGAAAACTGACTGAGAGACATGGGAATTCTTCAGCCAATTTTTCTTCCAAATCTTGTGGGTGAGCAGGAGCATTATCGCAGATGGGGAGTCTTGAATGGTAAACACTTGTCCTCTAGCTACTTCTTAACAGCAGGACAAAAAGCCTCCCTGATGCAGGCACAAAAACGTACTTGTTACCTAGGGTTTTGTGCTGGATCTCCACATGAGCCCTCGCCAATTTTTTTTTTTTTTTTTCTTTTTTTGTGGAACCCCAGAGATTGAACAATCCCTTTTCAGGCCTTGAACCTCTTGCTGGCCTTAGTTTCTGTTTTGAGCACCAAGCATGGTGCCTTGTAGCCACATATACTTTTTTTTTTTTTTTCCCCAGAACTGCGGATTGAACTCAGGCCCTTGCGCTTGCCAGGGAAGCGCTTATTCCACTGAGCCATCTCCCCGGCCCCACCAATTCTTTATAACTTTGTTTTCTGAACATTCTAGGGGTCTCACAGTGATAAATCAAGTGAGGTTTAATCTTGAGGTCACCATTGGCATAACTGGCACATAGCAATAAAGTTAACCTATCTTTTGTAGTCTTGTAGCCTGGGCTTCTCTTCTGAGGTAACGTATGTTCTCCTGGGCATTTTCTTCCAGAAAAGGCTAGCTTCATCACAGTACAAAACTGGATGAGTACAAAAGCGATTTCTTTGCATTACCATTTAGAAGTGGTGTATATAATTTTCAGCAGCCCTTGAATCAGCACTGGCTGCTTCACCATGTGAAGTTACACTATGAAGTTACACTATGAACCTCAGTTCTCACTTTAAAACTGAAACCACCTTCAAAAGCATGAAATATTTCACCATTATCACTCATTGATGAATTATCCTTTACAAGGATAATCCGCATTTATAGCCCTAGCTTTTTCACAAATTATACTCAACTAGGCTATAACTTGCCATCTGCCTTTCGTTTATCCACATTAATAATAGGCTTCCTGGGGCTGGGGAGATAGCTCAGTAGAAGAAACACTAGCCTGGCAAGCGCAGGATCCTGAGTTCAATCCCCAGTACTGAAAACAAACAAACAAATAAACAAAAAAACCACACAGACATCATAATAGCCTTCCTCCTTGTCTGATAGTGTTGATCATGACAATTAATTTAGGTAACACCTTCAGCAGCACTAGCTTCCTTATACAAATGATTTCTGTATAAGATTGTTGAGATGTTGGATTTTGACATGCTGTACATATTAGTGGGATTAGTCATACAATGCCACTCATATTTGTCTACAATGTCCTTTTTAACTGTGATTGCTTTCTATATCTTCCTTTCCTTCATTAGCTTTTTTTCTAGCTTTCTGGGGATATTTTGATGGCAGTAATGGTAGCAATTATATAAATCATGGACCAAAATCATGTACACACACACACACACACACACACACACACACACAATTTAGGCTCAGACTGACACTTTTGTATACACACATACATTTCTCTGGCATTGTGAACCTTTATTTACAACTGCACAAGTGTCTGGCATTCAGGTCATAACACAGGACTTTAGTCATAAGTTAAACCTTAAATTCCAGTTCCAATCCAAGTTGCTCATATGTGAGGCCAGCTGCAACTCAAGGGTCCACTGCATTTCTTTACTTTCTATTGTCTATCCTTTACTGTATTTTGCTCTTTATTCATACCATGTGATATTTAAGCTGTGTCTGATTTATTTTACTTAACACTATGGTCTCAAGTATCTATTTTCCTACAGATGCCTCTTAAGCTTATCCTTTGTGGCACAACTCTATACTATAGTGTATAAATACTTCATTTTCTTTATCTATTCATTTGTCAATAGACATAGATACCACTTCCAAGAGTTAACTTTTATGAACTGTGCTACTATAAACATAGGCATGCATGAATTACTGTAATATGGTATCTTTAACTTTTGGGAAGATATACAGAAGGGAAATAGCTAGGTCAAATAGAATTTCTGAATTTTTTTTTTTTTTTGTGGCAGGCTCAACCCGCCCTGGGGGCGGTGCTGGCGCAGCATGTGATCAAATGGTGGTCCCTGTGCTTCCATAAGCTTGCCTAAGCTGACATTTTAGACCACTGCGCTACCTCACTGGCCTACTAGTTTTACTTTCTTGAGCACTCTCCATAATAATTTCCTTAGTAGTTGTACTAGCTTATATTTCCACCAACAGAAAGGTTCCTTTTCCCCACAGCCTTGACAGCACTTACTACTTGATTTCTTGATGATGACCATTCTTTCTGGGCCAAGATGGAATCTCAGTGGTGTCTGAATCTGTATTTTTATTATGGCCAGCAACACTGAGCATTTCATCACATATTTACTGACCATTTGTACTACTTCTTTTGAGAAGTACATATTTAATTCAGTTACCTATTTTTTGATTGGGTCTTTTATGGGGGGAATCTAAGTTTTTGAGTACTTTATAAAGTCTTAATCAATGGTGGCAAACTTAGGGCATACATACTGTAGCAGTCTGTCTGTAACACTGAAAGCTCTGAAAGGTTCACCATCATTGGTCCAAATATTAGTTGTAGGGAGCCACAGAAGCTGGAAATTGATGACACATGCAAAGCAAGGCAAAGCTTGTCAGAGAACAAAGAACTCTGACAATCCATATGGACAAGCTGCTTCAGTCCAGAGAACACCAAGCCCCAAGACAATCCAAGCAATGGGGTACCAGGCAAAAGTGATGTCACATGACATCCACTAAGAGTATAAATAAATGCTCTACAGTGGTTGAGCAGTTCTTTTCCTCCCATCTGGAGAGAGGGCTTCATGTGACCTCAGCTTTCGGTCTCCTATCTTTATTTGTCCATCCTCTTGCGGTTCTTCTCTGGGAACTTAAAAGAGCTTCATTGGACCAGATAATTAGTACTCTAATAGCTGGAAAGGTTTTTTCCTATTCTGTAGTTTATTTTTTCACTGTTGTTTCTTTTGCTGTGCAGACATTTTTAATATGAGATGATTCCATTTCAGTACTAGT